ATTCCTGTGATATTACTGGAGCTACCCTTCCTTACGGAAGACCTGTAGACATCCAAGCAGAATTAGGGCTCTGACAGCCGTGACAAAGGAATAGGCTGTGTGGCAGGTGTCATATTATGACATATATATATATATATATATATATATAATGGTTTTCATCCATGGTTCTGGCTTATAACTCTCAAAGCCCTTGTTGCAGTCTTGTTATAACACTGGAGTGCTTCAGGCCTCAGAAAATAGAATCTCTCTCTCTCTCTGACTTTCTCCTGCCCTCCTTTTACCTCCCCAAGGCAGGAATCTTCCCTCACCTTTCTGTCTTAGAGCTGGCCATAAAGAGATTTCCCTGACACTTGTCTGATTGTAAACCGTAAGATCCTCATTTCAGAAGGGGTCCTGTCCCACGCCCAGAAGGAAGGAATGCTGCACATAGGGGCCAAGAAGAATCTGAACAGACATGCCTTGCTGGGTTTCCCCACTCAGTCTATTAGTATTAGACCATATTCTTTTGGTCCAATAGCATTTCTACATGGTTGTCAGTCATGCCTACCAGTGAAGTCTCCACAAAAGACCCAAGAATACAGGGTTTGGGAAACTTCCAGAAAAACAAATAAGTAGAGGCTTATAGAAAGATGAAGAAAATCTTATGCACGAGCTGAGAGGGGGCAGCACCCCAGCTCCATGGGGCAGAAGCTCCTGCACTCAGGGTCCTTCCAGACTCCACCCTGTGTGTCTCCTCATCTGGCTGTTGATTTGTAGCCTTTAAGATATCCTTTGTAATAAACCAGTAAACCGGTTTTCCTGAGTTCAATGAGCCACTCTAGTGAATTAATTGAACCCAAAGAGGTGGTTGTGGGAACCCCAACTTGGAGCCAGTTGGTCAGTATTTCTGGAAGCCCAGACCTGTGACTGGTGGGAAGGAGGGGGTGCTCTTAAGGGACTGAGCCCTCAACCTGTGGTTCCTGACACCATCTCCAGGTGCATAAGGCTAAAATTGAGTTGAGTTGGAGGACACCCAGCTGAGGTCTGCTGCAAAATCGCTTGCTTTCTTGTGTATGGGGAGAACTCCACACACCTGTGGTCCCCGAAGTCTTCTGTGTTGATTGTTGTTGTGGCTTCAGAAGAAAAAAAGATTCTTTTCAGAGTAGGCACCAATAGTGTATACTACAAGGCTTTTAATAAACTTTAATGAGGTACTTTGTGTAAAGTCCTGGAATGGGACATCACTAAACCCGCTTAGTAATAAGCACTCAACTAAACATCAGCTACAAAGATGTCTCATCATTTCACAATTAAGTGATGAAGCTAGGCGAGTTTTCAAAAATACATTTTTTTATGGTGTCCACTGATGTTAACAGTGGATGTTAATGCCACCATGGCAGCAGAGAGGAGGAGCCTCTCTGGTGCGGAGAGAGGTATGGGAAAATCAGGAATCAGGGGAGAGTTGTCAGGAGAGGCTTCTCAGAAAGACATGATCTTCGGCTGAATCTTGAAAGACAAATTGGAGTGAGCAGGGCGTGGGGCTAGGGACTTACCAGTCCTCCCTGCATGTGAAAATGCCTGGGGGCAGGGACTAGCCAGAAGGAGACAAAAAACCTTCACAGAAGAGTGTGCCTGGAGGGCAGGGGCTTCCCAAAACAGGATGCGTCTTAGACCAGTCGATCTTACCCACTTTCCAGAGTGTATTTTCTTGCTAGCAAAGAATCCAGCAAGGTGACAAAACAGTGTGCTGGTCCAGAGAGGGTTATATTGGACCAGCAGTTGGGAAAAAGAATCTATCATAAGTAGCCAATTTTTCACATAAGAAAGATTGTAAGTTCATTTCAGAAGGTCATAATTTTAGGTACACCCTGGTTGTACCTCAGGGCAGTTGTGGCAGGACATTCTATGGGGCCAGGTGTGCTGACCATCAGAAAAAAAAAGGGGTTGAAAGACCTGGCATATTTAAGAAGCAAATGAAAAGGATTCATTTCTGCCTGCTTTTGGAAGGCCAGGTGGCACGGGATGGGGCCAGCTGACAGACGAGCAGGAGGAAAGGGCGACTGTTAGGACATGGACAGACCATGAGTATGAGGGGAAGGTCAGGGCTGGGCTTCAAGTTCTCACTTGAAACAAGTCCTCTCTCATGATTGGCTCCATTCCAGCTGCAAAGATACAAAATGCAGTTTTCTTCCATGGTTTAATTTTGGATAATCGTTTTTCTCCCTAAAAATGAAAAGCAGGTGGGAACCCTGAAAGAACCAATCCCTCAGTGGTTAACTGAGCCTGAATTCAAGATAGAGCCAAGTGGCCATTGGCTGTTGAGAGGTCACATATATAGTCTGCATTCTCAGAAAACTCCCACACTCACTTAACTTTGGGACTTTCATAACTGTCTGTCTCCGTTCCGTTCGTGGTCACCTGAATCAGCCAACAGACCTGCATCGGCCAATCGGAACCCAGCAAGTGTCGATAAATCAGAATTCAGCAGGGCATCAACCAATCAAAACTAAGCGAGCTTGCATCCTTTGTTTGCATCACAAACCAAAATGGGAACCTGGGCAAGAAATCTTTTTTTTATAATAGACAACCCCTCTCTTTGATCTCTTTGAATGCACCTTTGTTTTGTACCAAAGACTGCTTCTCCCTGGTTTACAAACTGTTTCCTGAAATAAAGTCTCCTGATTTTGTTAAAAGAAAATATTTTTTAGTGGATTTATGCACAGAGGCCTTATGTGGTGCCAGGAGGTTGGGAAAAGTAGGGAAGTTGAAATTTATTCTGAAAGCAGAGGGAACCACTGCTGAGTTGTAAGGCTCACTCTCTGTCTGGGGTCTACCCTTCTTCTCAGAGGCCTGAAAAATCCTACCACTAATACCCAGAAGGAAGACAAACAACATGACTGGCGGTGCGATTTATTTTATCGTGAGAAGGCGACTCAGCTGTACTTTTAAACACCTGTGTGAAGGGACCTCATATGTGGAAACTGTTTTTCAATAAGAAGCTGCAAATGAAAACTCATCTTAAATGACCAGTTTCATCAAGTCCGAAGTAGAACTGTGGTCCGTCTTCAGGACCTGTGACTGCTGGTTCCTGTGTGATCTCCACCAGTGCAGCCTCCCTCTGAAGGTGACGGCAACCGGGAAGCACCTGGACTTTGACAGCACCCACCTCCGGTTCAGCTTGTTCTAGGCCAGAAAGGGCAGCTCCTTCTGAACTCTCTCCAAAAAGAGGCGTCCTGCCAAGACAGATTGTTCCAACTCTGCTACGCCCAGGAGATAAAACAACCAATATGTTTGAAAGAAGCAGCAATCAAGGGAGGGAAAGTAGATCATTTGGTGTGGGCTTGGTCAGCTGGAAGCTGACAAGGAAGTGAGAGTGACTCCCGCCTTCCTCCTAAGCTGTGAGCCTCCTGTGCGCCTTGGCCAACCCTCTGTCCCTAGGTCTGCCAGGGCACCTCACAGCGCCTCATATCCTGGTGCCCAGTCTGTCCCTCTGCGCTTGCAGAGGGCACCATCCCCTGTCAAAGGCCTTGCAACGGCATTGACCAGGGACTTGGACAGCAAGGCCTGGGGAAGAATTCTTACCTCTCTCTCATCATTCTTCTCTACCCCTCAAACCCCTATCTTTTCAAAGGTGGGAGTGGAAGAGAACGTTCAGAAGAAAGTGAACTGCTGTGGCTAAGAAGTTATGAGCATGCTCTCAGGATGTCCCACCTCCTGTCGTCCAATTCTTCCATCTCACCCTTGGGCAACACCTGATTTCTTCCAGCAGCCCACACTCGTTTGGGCCTCTGTCCCCACTGGGTCCCTTTGGCCTGAGATGCTCTGTTGAGACTGTGTTGCGGAAGCTGGAGCAGGCACTCCTCCCGGGCGCCGTAGCATCCTGAGTGTATTTCACATGAAGCACTTATCACTGTGCAGACATGACAGTGAATCTGTTTCCTCTACCATCCTGTGCCCTTCTCAAGGGCAAGACCTGAGTATTACATGTTTGTATTGGGTGCCTTGCACAGTCCCTGCACAGGGTAGGCCCTCAAAATCATGCTTCTTAGAGTAAACAAAACATGAGCAGGGGCAAGCCTGGCTGCAGTGGCCACGGTGCCCCCAGTGCCCGGCTGCACCCTGCTGGTTCCTCTGCGGGGGCTAGGGCACAGCGGTGACAGGCTGAGGCCAGGCTGAGCAGGTCGGAAGCTGGGCCTTTTCCTTCCCTTCAGCTGCCAAAGAACAACTAGTTAGACTAGTTCCAACTGCCAATGCCAGGCAAGGCTCTGTGTTCCTCTTATTGTTGGGGTTTTCCTGTTTGCACCCTTAAGATGCCACTTGGGAGAAAGAGGGCTCTGCGGCCGGCAGAATCCTGAACATGAAGAACTCTCCAGGCTTCACAGCTCGACTCTGGGTGGTTTATTTATTCGACCTTCTTTAGCAAATTATCCCTCCCAGGGCTGAGGCTGATTTCCCCAGGGAAAGAAAGCCCTTTACGGGGGAAACAGGGAGGAGGGGTTCCTGAGTGGAAGGACGCTTTTACAAACAGCTGTGTTTCATTCTGTCAGGGCAATAAAAGAGTCCTATCTGAAAGGGTCCAGAGGCAGGGAAACAGTAATCCTGAACTCCAGAAAGAAAAATAAAACTTCCAGAGTTTATAGGTCCTGGTCATCTCCCAAGCCAGCTCCGATCCCAAGCAAGGCCAGATGTGGAAATTCCACCTGTTGCTTCTCTTATCAGTAGCTATCAGCTTTCTGTGAACAGCCACAGAGCTCCTCTGGGGTATTTTCCCCATCCTTCACTCCTTTCTTTTGAGCTATCTCCTCCCTCCCTTTCTTTTTTTTTTTTTTTTAATTTTTTATTGAATTTTAGGTTTTGGGGTACATGAGCAGAGCATGCAAGACAGTTGCGTAGGTACACACATGGCAGTGTGCTTTGCTTTGCTTCTCCCCTTCACCCCCATTTGGCATTTCTCCCCAGGCTATCCCTCCCCACCTCCCCCTCCCACTAGCCCTCCCCTTTTCCCCCCAATAGACCCCAGTGTTTAGTACTCCCCTTTCTGTGTCCATGTGTTCTCATTTTTCATCACCCGCCTATGAGTGAGAATATGCGGTGTTTCATTTTCTGTTCTTGTGTCAGTTTGCTGAGGATGATGTTCTCCAAATTCATCCATGTCCCTACAAATGACACAAACTCATCATTTCTGATTGCTGCATAATATTCCATGGTGTATATGGGCCACATTTTTCCAATCCAGTCTATTATCAATGGGCATTTGAGTTGATTCCAGGTCTTTGCTATTGTAAACAGTGCTGCAATGAACATTCGTGTACATGTGTCCTTATAGTAGAACGATTTATAGTCTTTTGGATATATAAGCCAAATCAAGAACGAACTGCCATTCACAATTGCTACAAAAAGAATAAAATACCTTGGAATACAACTCACAAGGAACGTAAGGGACCTCTTCAAGGAGAACTACAAACCACTGCTCAACGAAATCAGAGAGGACACAAACAGATGGAGAAACATTCCATGTTCATGGTTAGGAAGAATTAATATTGTGAAAATGGCTATACTGCCCAAAGTAATTTACAGAATCAACGCTATCCCCATCAAGCTACCATTGATTTTCTTCCCTCCCTTTCTTTACCGCTCCTCTCCCCCTTTACTCTTTGTTTGTATTATTTTATTTATTCATTTATTTTTGAGACGGAATCTCACTCTGTCACCCAGGCTGGAGTGCAGTGGCGCGACCTCAGCTCACTACAACCTCTGCCTCCCAGGTTCAAGCGATTCTCCTGCCTCAGCATCCTGAGTAGCTGGGATTACAGGGGTGTGCTACCACACCCAGCTAATTTTTGTATTTTTAGTACAGATGCGGTTTCACCGTGTTGGTCAGGCTGGTCTCAAACTCCTGACCTCATGATCCACCTGCCTTGGCCTCCTAAAGTGTTGTGATTACAGGCATGAGCCACCGCGCCCAGCCTTTCTTTACAACCTACCCCTTGTCTTCCTCCAGATCCTTCCCACGCACGCACGCGGGCGACACACACACACACACACACACACACAAACACACACACACAGAGTTTCCCCATGGCATGTCCTCGTACCCATTCCCCTCTGTCACTCAACCCTTCCTATCCCTCACCATCTCGGGAACCCAGCCCTTCCTACTTCACCCATGTAAGCCTTGGGCCCTGCCTTCTCACAACCAGTCTGCTAGCTCAGTAAAAACATTTAGCTGAATTCCTGTCCAATTCAACTTACATTTATTTCAAAAGTGACTAAGCATCTACTACTATACAAGGCCCTGGACTGAGGACTGGGGTTACAAAGGGGAATGAGATAGAATTTGTTTGGGAAGATACATATAAACAAATACTCTGGGTGCAACAGGTAGGTTGTAATGACAGAAATGTCCACAGATCTTGGGTGCCAGGAGAGGACCCTCCTCCTGAGAGTTAAAGGAAGGTGATGCCATGAATAAGGTGTGAGAAAATTCCAGAAAAAGGCAGCAACATAAGCAGAAGCGCAGAGACAGGAAACCACGTGGCTTATGAAAGGAGCCACCGCGAGCAATCCTGAAGTGATATGTGCAGTGTTACAGAGCACGAATCCAACGCAGCACTAGCAGAACGTTCTAGAAGCCCCTTTCAGCCAGGAGAAGAGATAGGAACACATGAAGGGTGTCAAGTAGAGACACTTGTGATATTACTTGGTTGCAGTGGAGGAGGGACCTTCACGTGGTCAAACCAGATGCAGGGAGCGTTGCCGGGATGTGTTTCTGGTGGTCAGACATGGGGAGGGTGTGGACCGGGCCAGGTGGCAAGGAGGCACAAGTTTGAGACACAGGGTTAAAAAAAAATCATCACTATTGGGCAGCCCATTGGAGTGGGAAATAAGAGAGACAGAGTCTCAGATGCTTTTGGAGTATGTGGCCCAACTCACCAAAGGGAGAGGACAGTGGCTTTAGTGGAGATGAGAAGTAGATTTTAAGGGAAGGCAATGAATTTGTAGTGAGTTGAATGGCGGTCTCCTAAAAGTTTATCCAAGTCCTAATGCCCAGAACCTATGAAACTTACCTTATTTGGAAAAAAGGGCTTTGCATATATAATTAGAAGTCTTGACATGAAAAGACCATCCTGGATTATCTGGGTGGGTTCTAAATCCAGTAATGGATGCCTTTACAAAAGACACATAGAGGAAGACTTGAGACACACAGAGGAGAGGGCCGCGTGAAAATGGAAGCAGAGGTCAGAATGGTGCAGCCACAGCTGGAGAAGCCAAGGATGGCGGGCAGCCACCTGAGGCTGGATGGAGAAGGAAGCATTCTCCCCAGATGCCTCCAAAGGACATGCAGTGCCGCTGACACCTGGGGCTCAGACATCTGCCCTCCAGAACTGTGGAAGAACAAATTTCGGTTGTCTGAGGCCACCCCATTTGTGGCCATTTGTTCCGGCAGCTGCAGGAAACGAATACAGATTTCTTTCTGGAGACCCATCTTTCTGTATGAGTTCAGCAGGCGAATGAGTTCGGCAGATGTGGATTCTGGAGCCAGAAGTAACAGTTAAAACCACAAGGTTAAGGAGATGGTCCAAAGACAATAGAGAAGGAAGAAAAGTGAACGAAGCACACAGCACAGGGACACATCGTGTTCGATGGATGAAATCAGGCAAGAGGTCCTGAAGGAGGCAGAGAAAAGTGGTCAGAGAAGTCAGGGGAGAGCCAGGAAAGCGCCAAGTCACAGAGGCCAAGAGAGCAGAGAGTTTTAAGGGGAGAATGGTCAACAGTGTGAATGTCGGCGAGGAGTCCAAGAGTGGGGTCCACGTATCCACTGGAGTTGAAGAATAGCTGTTTACTGATGGCCCCGGTGAGAGTGGTGTTCCTGGATGGGAGTGAAGTCCTAATTTCCAGGACAAGAGCAGGCCTTTAGAGACCCTAAGTACTAAGAAGATTATGTTGTCCTCCCCATGTGCATTTCAAAATAAAATCAGTGCTACCTTATAACTGTAATAAAGTTCCTACAGAATTCTGCTTTTTCCCAAGAGATCATCAGTTTAAATATGTGTTTTGATATATGTGTATGTGCATACACACATTCACATGTAGACTCATTATTTTTTCTTTGCAATGCTATTATTCAGCATAGTGCTGGTTGCAAGAGTTTGCATAGTAAAAGGGGCCATGGAAAAGTGCAACCCAGAAGCTCAAGTGAGCAGGGAGGAAGAGGGAGAGGAGGGTTGGAGGATGAGGGGACAGTGTATTGAGGGGAAGAAACTCGGTATGCTCATAGGTTAAGGGGAGAAGCAGGTCAAGAGGGTGAGATGGAAAACGCTGGTGGGAGAGGAGCAGTGACTATGAAGCCACATCCAGGCCACAGGACATGGGGAGTTAAAGAGTCCAGGAAAGCTTTGGCCTGGGTATCAGGAAGGAACTCTTGGCCTTGAAGGCTGGAGGAAGTGGGTGCAGGTATGATAAATCTGTAGGTGGGAGGATGCTGGTGGCCTCAGAAATCTCCAAGAATGAGGAGACATGCTAGGATGGGCACTGCTTATTGAAAGAAGCTTGTCCAGGATAGCAACTCACATGTCTACACTTCCTTGGTTTCTCTCGTCCTGCCTCCGTGTCCCTCGCCATTTCCTCCCCGCCAGAACCTGCCATCAGCAACAGCTTAACGACATGGTTAAACAGGGACCGAGGTGTCTGAGAGGGCCACTGGAGGGACGGCAGGTCAAACCTCCTCTGCGGGGCCCACTCCATCCTTCCCAGTCCTGGCCTTTGCTATAACCCCGGCTCGTTGTGCAATCTCATCCAATCCCTTATCCCTAGGTGGCCTAGTGAGCTTCTCTCACCAGACGTGTACATCTACATCATCTCCACGCCTTTCCCCCAATTAATTCCACTGCAACCTGAGTGGAATTCTAAAATACATGTCTCCTTGATTTCTGTCTGCTCAGATTTATTGAGATGGGACATATACCTGCACATTCGTGCACACATCCAACCCTCCACCCCCACCCCCACCCCCACACACACATACGTACACTCTGTGGGAATCTCTTTGAGCATGGAGAAGGCTGTTTCAAATTATGCTCAAAGATTTTTTAAGTTCTGTGTTATATTTTTAAAACGTATTGGAATGTTGTATTCTTTTCCATGATATATTTGTTTTTGATATCATATAAATATATTTTAAACCACTTATTAGCAAATACACTTGACCTTCCAGGGATATGCCTTTATTTGTCAGTGGCTTCTCATACCCCTTGGGAGCACGGCTGAGCACTCCCAGAGGAACTCAGATTGACTTGTTCAAGAAACACAGATCTACAGGTTAATGCTTTCGTATTTGCAAGCCCACCAGTGTACAATCAACAATATAGGCGACGTGTCCATGTTTGATTTAGGTGTTATTCCATTGCATTTGACAGATAGAATGTTGTCAGTTGTAGGGATCCTAAGTATGGTTCATCCATCTGGGGTCCAGAGTGGGTAAGCGGCTGGACCAAGGTCCCAGAGCAAGTTAGTGGTAGAGTTAGGGTCTGTACCCACTGTCCTGACCGCCAGTCAAAACTCCCCCATTCTGCCATCTCTTCTTTTCTTGGTGTTTTTAAAGATTCCATCTAGTTCTAAAAGCACAAAATTCTAAGTAGGGGTAAAGAAATTAATCCCCGTACACTCTGAGATGTCCTCTCTTCTTCACTTACCCTTCTTAACCTTTTTCTCTTATCTTCATCCATAGGCTCCAAGCAGCTGTACTTCCCGTCTTCAAGACTGCATTTAGGTCCTAGACAAATTGAATTAATTTAATAACCCAGATAAATCTAATCACTTCCTTATATGTGATTATTTGGTGGGATTTGCTCTACTAGCTCAAACCCCACTTTCAGTAAGACACACTCTTCTTTAAGCCCCCGGTGCTCCCCATGACCCGTCAGAGACTCCCCACTCCTTCGCCTGCTGCTCTGGTATTCAGGAGCCCGGGCCAGCATGTTTTGTGTTACTAGAGGATAGGTCAGGCCCTGTTTGGCTCTTGTCCCATGATCTGAAGACTGAACAAGTATGGAGTTGCTAGTGAGTACTCACCAGGAAAGCAGGAAAGGGAACGAGTGGGGGCTGTGGGTGGCCCTGGGAGAGGCTCTATACAGCCTGGTTCAGGGGCCCTGTAAGCGGAGCCTTGCGCATGCACTTCCTCCTCACTGCCTGCTCCTTTTCCTCTCACACTATGCACACTCACCGAGCTCTTCCTTCACACTCTCCAGCTCCCATATCTACACTATCACAATTTTTTCTTGGTGTGGACTCAATGCGTCCTTTCAAAACTCATATGTTGACATCCTCACCACCAAGATGATGGCATGAAGAGGTGTGGCCTTTGGGAGGCCTTTGGGCTCAGCTGTCTTGTGTGGGATTAGTGTTGTGATAAGAGACCCCAGAGCACTCCCTCAGTCCTTGTGCCACGTGAGCACACAGTGAGAAGACAGCTGGGTATGAGGAAGGAGGCGGGCCCTCACCGGACACCAGGTCAGCAGGTACCTTCATGTTCAACTTCCCAGCCTCCAGGACTCTGAGAATAAATGCCGGGGTTTTAAAGCCACCCCGTCTCTGCTATTTTTGTTATAGGAGCCTGAATGGACTGAGACACCTCCTGAAGGGGCGCCCGCTCTTGGACCCTTCTCCTCCAATCTACTCACCACACAACTGTCAGAGCGTCTTCTTTAAACTGTATTTTATCTTCTCAGTCCCCTTCTGCCTCCTGCTTAACCCCAGAAGTCCAAGTGCCTCTGTTTCACCTCTACAGTCTTTGAGTAACCATTCTCACCTCTAACGATCTCACTTCTTGCTAGCTCTCCAGATGAACATCTGGATGAATAAAACAAATGCCTCTCATCATAGACCAGTAGGCCAGACATTCATTGGAAAGGTATGCACATAGAGAAATGCAGATGCTTGCTTGGGAAGATTAGAAGACATGAGATCACTAGGAGTTAATAAGTGTGCACGGAAAATAAATTCATTATTTTAATACTACTTCCTGGACTCAGTAGGGGTGAGCAAACCGTTAGATCCGGGGATTGGTATAGCTATGGCATATCTATATTTTAGGAAAGCCAATTTTTTCCTCATTAATATTTTGAATAAGATGAATGAAGTTGTGTGAACCGGCTATAACGTGTTCCCACTAACGTGATACGGGACTGTATTAGCCAGGGTAAATGTTAGGCTGAAGTAACAAAGAGACCCCAAAATTACAATGGAGTGAGTAAAAGACACGTAATAGTCTCGGCAGCCCGGGCTGTCAGGGCAGCTCTGTTCTATGAGATCAGTCTTCTACTTTGTACTGTCTCCATCTGCAAATCCGAGTTAAGTCGCAGCCACAACCACATTCCAGCTAGCAGGAAAGAGAATAGTTAGTATAGAAAGTCAGACCTGGCCAGGTGCAATGGCTCACATTTGTAATCTCAGCATTTTGGGAGGCTGAGGCAGGTGGATCACTTGAGGTCAGGAGTTCAAGACCAGCCTGGATAACATGGCAAAACCCCATCCCTACTAAAAAAAAAATACAAAAATTAGCTAGGTGTGGTGGTGCATGCCTATACTCCCAGCTACTCAGGAGGCTGAGTTAGAAGAATCACTTGAACCCTGGAGGCAGAGGCTGCAATGAGCTGAGATCATACCACTGCACTCCAACCTAGGCAATAGAGCAAAACTCTGTCTCAAAAATAAAAAAATTTGGGCCGGGCGCAGTGGCTCACAGCTGTAATCCCAGCACTTTGGGAGGCCAAGGCGGGTGGATCATGAGGTCAAGAGATGGAGACCATCCTGGTCAACATGGTGAAACCCCATCTCTACTAAAAATACAAAAAATTAGCTGGGTGTGGTGGCGCGTGCCTGTAATCCCAGCTACTCGGGAGGCTGAGGCAGGAGAATTGCCTGAACCCAGGTGGCAGAGGTTGCGGTGAGCCGACGTCGCGCCACTGCACTCCAGCCTGGGGAACAAGAGCGAAACTCCGTCTCAAAAAAAAAAAAAAAATTTTTTTTAAAAAGAAAGAAAAGAAAGTCATCCTGTAGGAAGCAAATTGAAGTATTCCTACTCATATCCCACTGGCCAAATTCTAGTCACATGGCCCACTCCTCCATGAAAGAGAAGCCAGGAAATGTAGGTTCTGGATGGGTGCTCTGTGCTTAGCCAAAACTCAGTGGGGATCAAGAGACTCTTTGCTCAAAGGAAGAATGGGAGAGGATCATATATTGGGAACAGTAGCAGCTCTGCCACATTGACTTTTGACCAGACATTTCTCCTTTTTAGCTCTCATATTCCCACCTATTGCAAAAGAATAGAAATATTTACCTGCCCTATCCCACAGAGCTGCTTGGAGGATAAAATTAAATTAAATACAAGAGGGTTTTTTCAAATAAACTTAAAAGGTGCTGTGCTAGAATGCAAAATGCTACAACAACTTTTTAAAAACCTTGTCAGTTTCTTATGAAGTTAAACAAAAACCAGCCATATGATCCAGCAATCCCACTCCTAGTTATCTGCCCAAAAGAAATAAAAGATTATGATCATACAAAACTCTGTATACAAATGTTAACAACGGTTTATTCATGGAAACAACCCAAATGGATAAAGAAAGTATAATACATCTCTAGAATGAAACACTACTCAGCAGTAAAAAGGAACGAGCTCACGGATAGTTACGTTAACCTGGACGAATCTCAATGCATTACGCTAAGTGAAAAACAGCCAGACTCAAAAGGCTTCCTGCTGTAAGATTCTATTTATATGACATTCTGAAAAAACTATAAAGGCAGAAAACAAATCAGCGATTGCCTTTGTACTGGTGCTTGCACAACTGAGTTTTTGTCAAAATTCTGAAAAGGGCAAACTTTATGCAATAATTTATGCCTTAATAAACTTGACCAAAAAAGAAAAGATGCTAATACAAGCTATGAATGACTCATCATCTATGTAACAGCTGAAAAAACGAATTACCCTCATATCTGAATGAGATGACACAGTTCATAACTGCTCACCCGTATATTACCTCAAATGAACTCCACAGCAGCCCCGTGAGACAATAAGGAGAACCCCTTTCTCCCCTTACCAGATGAAGTTCAGAGTTCTTAAATTATTTCCCAATATCATACAACTAGGGAGTGGCACAGCCGCACTTTTAATGGGGTTTTCTGATTTCTACTCTTTTCTTTTTTAACGCCGTTATGCCATCTAGGAGTTTTGAATAATGTCAGACAGGCGCACACGCACACACACACAAAGAATCTAGTGATCTGGAGCAGGAAACAATAAAAGACCAGTGGATTTTTTTTTACTCCAAATCCAGCTTTCTCTAGTGCCCCAGGAAGAATCCTCTGAAGTCCTTCTCTTCTAAAATTGAGACTGCCCTCTTCCCTAGGGATTACATGTGACTCACGCTGCAGGAGGGGCCTCTCTGCCTGTGAGAAAACAGCACAGAGACTCAATGGCATCCAGAAATTGGCCTCCTTGCAACTTACCAATACACCCTTCCCACTGGCCATGGTGGTGGTGGACCCAGTCACTAGATTCCTGGAGCCAGAATACACAGCAAAAAAAGTAGGATGAGGAGACCCTCCCAGCCAAGGAGGACTGTAGTGGGAAGTAGGTGTAGACTCGGGGGCTAAGCATTAAATGCTTCTTTATCCTGATTTGTGCACTGGAAAGATTGCCCAGTCCTGAATGGCTTATGTGGGTCTCTTGCCACAGGATAAGAGTTATTAATATCTGTACTGCTTGTTACAATGAATGAAGTGCTCTTACCTGTGTTAGATGGTTTGATCCTCACTCCAACCCAGAGGAAGTGATATTCCTGCCATCTACATGTTCAGGTGAGAAAATAGAGGCCCAAAGAAGAAAGTTATTTTGCCAAAGGCATCCAGCTAAAAATTGGCGAAGCGGGACTTGAACCTGTCTTCTGCATCCAAAGTGCAAATTCTTCTTTTAAAAATTCACGTTTTTTTTCCTTACATCACTCTGCCATCTTTGTTTTTGGATCCCAGCAGATGCAGCCACTGTCCTTACCAAGTACAGGGACTGGGAGATTCATCACAAGCAATATTACGATGCCACCATGTGAAATTGAATAGTTAGAGATGTGCTCCCACAGTTTCTCACTGGAAGTTGTTTTTAATAATGCATCTGTCCTTCGTGAGTCCTTTAACCCAGGGTTCCCCAACCCCCCCCACACCCCCCAAGTCCGGGAAGTGAGCCGCAGGTAAGCCAGCATCACCGCCTGATTAGATTCTCAGGAGTGCAGACGCTGTTGTGAACTGTGCATGTGAGGGGTCAAGGCTGTGCACTGCTTATAGAATGTAACCATGCCTGACACTCCTAGCTGGAACATTGAAACCATCCCCCCTGCCCCCTCCATGGAAAAACTGTCCTCCACAAAACCGGTCCCTGGTGCCAAAAAGGTTGGTGACTGCTGCTTTAACCAAAGTATATTTATTTATTTAAATCCATTTATACCTACCCCCCAACCAACTGAATGGACCCCTGTCTTGGCTAAGGGGGATTCCAAAGAAACCTGGAAAACTAGTTTAGAGCATGCTAGAAGGGGGATAGGCAGACGTGCCTCGTTGACCTCTCCTCCCTTTGGCGTTCAGGCACAACTGACCAGCAGTAACATTAAAAGAGAGATCTTAAGTCTGACCACACAGACTCTTTGTAGCACTAAGATACCAAACTCCAACCTGACTGTAGTGTAGCATCACATGACAGCAGGCCTTGAGAGAAATCAAAATATTGTATACCAAAATATATTTCTTTGACGTATTTTGAAATGGTCTTGCAAAGGGGTCTTCTGTGGAAGAAATTCACATTCTGTAGAGAATCCCCTTGACTTTCCAGGTCTTTTTCTGATCTTGAAGAAATTAGCTGAGAGTCTAGCACTGTTTAGAGGTCTGAATGGGAAACATTGCCGTCTATCGCCTCCAAGAGTGGCCACCTATGAGACTCCTCTACGTACTAAGAACCTCAGTCTCCACAACCTTTTTTCACTGATTACAGGCCATTAGGTGATACCTCGTACAACCAATTGCCTATCTGAAAATCTTTGAATCCACCTACGATCTGGAAGGCTCCCCATCCACTGCTTAGAGACGTCCTGCATTTCTGGACCCAACAAATGCTTACCTCACACCTATTGACTGATGTCTTGTATCTCCCTAAAACATATAAAATCAAGCTGTAACCCAACCACCTTGGGCACATGTTCTCAGGCCCTCTTGGGGCTGTGTCACAGGTCATAATCCTTAACCCTGACAAAATAAACTTCGAAACTGATTGAAATCTGTCTCTGATACTTTATGTTTACAACTTTATGGAGGAAGTAAACTCTGAGCATTACCCTGCCCTTGACAAAATAATATTTCTTTATTTCTCTTGAACTGACCTTCTTCAACTTGTAACCATTGTTCCTAATCGGCTCTTTGAAGTTATGTGAATGAATCATTCTAGCTGTGCCTCTCATGGTTTCACACGCTCTGTCACCGTGCTCAATCTGTTGTGGTATTGTGGGTCTGCCTTGGTCCTTGTCCAGAGAGGGAAATTGCTAGGGGGACCCAGTTTCACGATGGTCCCCAGTGTGTGAACCCCCATGGTGCCTTCAGAACCAGGTCCTTATGTATTAGGGAAGGGAAGACTCTCAAAGGATTTTGCAGAGCAAACGAGAATCATGTTTTCCTTTAACTGAGGATTTTGCTTTCTGGGAAAAGAGCTGTAAACTGCGACAACCGCTTTACTCCCCAGAACCCGCCTCTGGCCACAGCACATTTCTTTTGTGTTCACAGTTTTCCAACTCACTTCACCCCAAATAACCCTGTTCCATTTACCCTCCTGAAGGTTGGCAGCCCCCTGCCCCCACTACATTTCAGCTCCTCTGAGTGCAGGAGCTTCTGCACTGCCTGATTACCTACCCTATGGAAGCCAGGAGGAGACTTCAGTCCCAGCTGGAGCCCAGCTGCCAGAGAGATGGAATATTAAGACATTTTCCTTTCTTCAGAGTCCTTGTTAATTCTTCCTGGTGGTGATTAGCCAGTTATTTTTAGCTCCCTCTAAGCTCCCTGGTTAGTATTCACGGCTGGTTTAGACAGCTCTGAGGCACACTCACCACGTTAATGCTCCGATTCCATTTGGTCCCACTGAAGTGAATAAAATTAACTCCCAGGGCAGGCCCATCCCCCAGCCTCCCCAGGTGCTTCTCTCCTGCCTCTCCTTGAGGCGCTGGCTTCTGTCCAAAGGGCCTACAGCTCTGGGTCCAGGGACAAAGTCTTACAGGAGGGATCTGGGAAACATGCACTTTTGAAGCCATATGAAGAGACGGAAATAACACTGCAATGGGAGTGAGGAAATGAAGGTTTTAGTCTGGACTTTGTCACTAGCTGTCTGTGTAACACTGGGCAAGTTACCTTCCTTTTCTGAGCCATCATGAAATGGTGTGGCTGGACCAGTCAGCCCCTAAGTCCTTCCCAGGACTAAGCAGCTATACAGTCCCAAGCCTAAAATAGGAGCGGAACATGAAGAACCTGAGCCTCGGTGAGAGCGTCTTGACAGCAAAATGCAGGCACCTCTTTCTTTCTTCTTTTGATTCACCTGGCTTCCCTCTTCCAAAGCGATTCTCCAGCCTCACCCTCCCAAGTAGCTGTGAAAACAAATGTGTGTCACCACGCCCAGCTACTCTTTTAATTTTTATCTTTAATATAGACGAAGTCTCACTATGTGACCCAGACTGGTCTCGAACCCCTGAGCCCGACTGATGCTCTCACCTCAGCCTCCCAAAGGATACCCTAATACTTTGATAACCGAACACACATTCTGCCTTGGCATTCCTTTCGAATGGAAGTCATGACAGGTCCCTCTGAATCCCCAGCTGACCACATACCTTTTCATTCTCCCCCATCTTGTTTTCAAGCTCATGGACTGTGATATCTGCACAATTTTTGTCAAAGCCAGAGCACCTACGGGCCCCATCTGTGAAGGTTCCTTTAGCACCGAGACCTTTCCTGGGCTTCTTTCCAGGTAAAGCCCCAGGCCCTTCCTCCACTGTCATCTGCTCCGTGCTGCTGTTGAAAGCTGGGTTTACCAGAACCCCTTGGTCCCTCTCCTAGCCTTCCTTAAGGGTACCTTTCCCTCTGGGCTGACCTCTGGCCCCTCCACAACCAAGTTACAACAGAGATAGTGACTTCTGAAATGGGTCGAACAGGCACGAAGACAGTGGAGTCTTGCTGACCTGTGGCTGTGAGACATGCTGCAGTAATTGAGCGTTCGGCTTTAAGAGGTTCCCGAGGCTTCTACCAAGGCTGCAGGTTGATTGACCAATATAATCCCTCAGGGTGCAGTTAAGGTAACTGTGTCTGGGACAAAGACTTCCAGGTAGAACAGGCCAGCTGACTGCTAGGCTGGGTTGGATGGGACCAGTCCTCACCGGCTGGGATGCTGGGAGCCTTTCCCTGCCTTATCTCCTGGTTTACCACTCTGTACTAAGCACTCATATCTGAGTGACCCCACCCAGCTGTGCCAGAGAGAGAGTTCTTTAAACTGCTGCTGTCTGGATAAAAATCAGGCAAAACCAAGCCCAATGCATCAATTCAATTTTATGCCCTCTCTGCAACCAGGTCACACTTGAAGGAACTCCAGCTGGCTGGCACCTGCCCTTCCCCCACTCTGAGTTTTGGAGTTGAAGGAAACTCTCGTAAACCTTCTAATGCTGGGACTATGTATTTTATTGTATTCGTAAATAGAATACAATACCACAACAGGTGCACTGGGACACCTGCTTAAATGATCAAGGCAGTCAGCTTTGCTGCCTGTTCACCCAGCCCTGCAGGCCGCTGAACAGCTGCGGGCTAGAGGTGGTGGCGGTTTCTGCCTAGGGTTGTATTGCTCAAGGAGAATCAGAGAAAATGTTCCTACCTTGGACTCAGGTAGTACAGTGTGGATGCTGACACACACAGCAGTTCCTCCATGCCTATGTGTCGTAGAGCCCCGTTCAAATACTAGCTGCGTGCCGTGGAAAGACCTTTTAACCATACTGAGTCTGCTTTCTCACTTGTGAAACTAAGGTGCTAGAATTTAGGGTAATTCTGATGAGTAGATAAATTAGGGAGTGTGGTTCTAGGGCCTGTGTTCCCTCTGCCAAAAGCCACTCACTCCCTGGGGCTGTGATGGAAAAATCTGCCTCTGAAGCCTGTCCTTGCTCAGAGAAGCCCCCTAAGGGTTAAAAGACAGTTCTGGACCCCTTCATACCCATTAGGACAGGGCTTATCAACAGTAAAAAAAGAAGGAAAGAAAACCCCAGAAAATAACAAGTGTCGGTGAGGGTGTAGAGAAATTGGAAGACTTGTGCACTGTTGATGGGAGCCTTCGATGCTGCAACCTTTGTGGAAATTCCTCAGAAAATTACAATGAGATCTACCGTGTGATCCAGCAGTTCCACTTCTGGGTATTTACCCAAAATAACTAAAAGCAGCTCGAGGAGATATTCGTATACCTGTGTTCATAGCAGCGCTATTCACCGCAGCTAAAATGTGAAGCAGCCCAAGTGCCCGCCCATTAGCGGAGGAATGGACGAACAAAACGTGGAATATAATTCAGCCTTAAAAAAGGAAGGGCATGTTGAAATGCGCCACAACACGGAAGAACTTTGAGAACATTACACTGTGTGAAATAAAACAGGCGCAAAAGAACACGTGCTATACGCATTCGGGACTCTACTCCCTCCCCCGAAGTAACTAAAGTACTCAAAGTCACAGAGACGGAAGACAGAATGGCTGGTTGAGGGAGGAGGGAGGAGGAGTTGCTGTTTAGTGGATACAGAGTTTTAGTTTTGCAAGATGAAAAGAGTTGTAGAGACGGTGTGCACCGCGATGTGAATGCGCTTGACATAAATGAACTATGGCTGAAATGGTGAGTTTAAGGATATGTGCATTTTACCACAGTAAGAGAGAGAGTTATAAAGCACAACAGGGGTCTCCAACAAGGGCAGGCACCTTCATTTGGTTTACTTTATCTACAGGTATAGAAAATAATACTACTCACTACAGTGAATGCTGTTGAGCATTAACCTGGCTTTGCCCATATCGTCACCTCCAATTTTTATAGCAATCACTGAAGTAGGTAGCATGATCCCCAGTTAATATAAGGACACTATGGTTAAGGCTTTGGGTGAGAATGGAGTGAGTTATGACATTAGCCAGCTACCTCCTATCACAGGGCTTCAATGGTCATGATGATGTGTACTAGGCTCTGGGGGCATAAGTATACTTGAAGCTTCTCTGCGGTCTCTGGAAACTCTTGGTCATACTGAGGAGACATACACAGTGAGAGAGGCTCAAACCAGAATCTTGAGGACACAGGAAGGGGGAATCACAGAAACGGGAGTTCATCAAAAGGAGCAGGCACTGAATTGGCAGAAAAAGGGCAAGTGTTAAAGGCCCTAAATTCTGGGGGACAGAAGGTAAGCGGTAGATTTAGATGGAAAAATAGTATTTATTAGCAGGAAAAAAGTAAAGTACAATTAACAAGATTTCCTAATGTGAGTATTTCCCACCCATCAGGCCAGGGAAAGCCAATGTAGGGATTGCTATGAGAAGCACACTTAAATCCATGAAATAATAGCTAATATTTATTGAGCTCAGCTTGTGTGGCAGGCACCGTTCCAAGCTCTTTACATACATAGTGGATTCAATCTTCACAACAACCCGATGAGGTAAGCCTTATTCATTACAGTCATTGTATAGATGAGGAAACTCAGGCTCAGAGAAGTGAAGCGATTTAGTCCAGCATCACAGAGCCAGGGTGTGGCAGAGCCAAGATGCAAATTCACAGCCTGGATTCCGGAGCTCTAACACCCAACTCTGACTCTGCGTGGTGATTGCAAACGTTGAGTCTTTATTATTTAACCAAAATTTTTTGAATTGGTCATAGACACGATGAGCAATCTTGTTTGATCAGAAATTAGTATTTTGGGAATAGTTGCTGATGTTTGTGTTTTGTGCATAACACATATCGTAGACGTTCACAAACAGCTGGTAGACAAATACGAGGAGCTGTAAAGGTGGGAGGGTTTCTCCATGTCCCCGCTCAGAACTGGTAACCATGGCAACAGCAAATTATAAGTTCACCGCTGCAGACCCACACAGCCAGCAGAGATTACAAGAGATGGTCACTGACATCATCAGGGACCTAAGTCGATCAGGATGTGGTCATTTTAAATGACAGAAACCTAACTCAAACTAGCTTAAGCAAGGAGAAAACAATCTGGCTAATCAAACACATTTCAGGAACAGTCTGGAGTGGAACCAGTTTAGAAGCACACAGTCAGCAGAGACTTCGTAGGCATCAGTCCTCAATTGAGGCCCCACCCCAATTTTAGGTCACACTTTCTTTAAATTTCCCAGAAGATCATTTACCTGAGAATCATTTAGAGAAGTAGGGTGGAGGAGTTCACTAAGAATGTAAATTTCTGGAGGGGATTCTTGATCTATTAAATCAGATTCCCTGGCATGTGGCCCAGGAATCTGAATGTTAAACGTGCTTCCCAGGTAACTGTTGCAAGCCTCAGTTGAGAACCACTGCCTAGGCTACAACAGCAACAAGCCATGTCGTGTGATTTTTCCTTTGTCACACTGTTACATGGAACCACGTCCCTTTCCTAATATCTCAAGTTATTTACCCAATAGTGTGATTACCTGATTAAAGCCATTTTCCCCACCTAACTAACTATAGGCTTCATGGGAGCAGGAACTACATCTGTTGCTAAATGCCTGCCAGTGCATCCTCATTGCCTTACTCAGCGGCTGGCATATACTGAGTGCTCAATAAATATTTATTAAATGAATGAATGAATGAATGAATGAATGCATGAGTGGACTTTAGCTCACAGAGTTGCTCTCACATTTTTTTCTCACTTAACCCACACAACAAGCCACAACAAGGTAAGTAGGCTAGACATTACTGTTAAAACACGTGCTTTGAATGAAGAGACCTCCCAGACGGGGTTTGTGTGAGCAACATGGCTGTTTATTCACCTGGGTGGGCAAAGGTGGGCTAAGGCCAAAAAGGGTGTTAGCAAAGGGCAGTGTGATAGGAGTTGGTTTTATAGGTTTGGGGTGGGCAGTGGAAAGTTACAGAGTAAGATCAGTTACAGTGGTGGGGAGAGGGGCAAGGAGTATACATCACCGTAAGTTCAGTTACAATGGTGGGTGGGGTAAGGTGTAAGAGTAGTTGGCTGTTTGTTATTTTCTTCCCTTATTCCTTCCTGTCTCCGCTGATAAGTGCAATTATCAGCATAAAAGAGGTTTTTAATACCTATTTTTAGATTGCATTCCAGCCTGGGCAATAGAGCAAGATTCCTATTCTCTCTCCCCTTTCTCTTTCTCTTTTTTTCTTTAAAAAAAAATCACCACCTTTCTCTAGTTTCAAAAACTTTTGTTTATCACTCCAGAACACCTGCATCCATTAAAAAAAAAAGTTTACGGACGAGAACAAGTAGAATATTCAGGAAAGTGTTTAATGAAGGAAAAG